CTAGACTATAGACTAGACTATAGACTATACTATAGACTAGACTATAGACTAGGACGATAGACCTAGACTATAGACTAGACTATAGGACTAGACTATAGACTAGACTATAGACTAGACATAGACTAGACTATAGACTGACTATAGACTAGACTATAGACTAGACTATAGACTAGACTATAGACTAGACTATAGACTAGACTATAGACTAGACTATAGACTAGACTATAGACTATACTATAGACTAGACTATAGACTAGACTATAGACTAGACTATAGACTAGACTATAGACTAGACTATAGACTAGACTATAGACTAGACTATAGACTAGACTATAGACTAGACTATAGACTAGACTATAGACTAGACTATAGACTAGGACTATAGACTAGACTATAGACTAGACTATAGACTAGACTATAGACTATAGACTATAGACTAGACTATATACTAGACATAGACTAGACTATAGACTAGACTATAGACTAGACTATAGACTAGACTATAGACTAGACTATAGACTAGACTATAGACTAGACTATAGACTAGACTATAGACTAGACTATAGACTAGACTATAGACTAGACTATAGACTAGACTATAGACTAGACTATAGACTAGACTATAGACTAGACTATATACTAGACTATAGACTAGACTATAGACTAGACTATAGACTAGACTATAGACTTGACTATAGACTAGACTATAGACTAGACTATAGACTAGACTATAGACTAGACTATAGACTAGACTATAGACTAGACTATAGACTAGACTATAGACTAGACTATAGACTAGACTATAGACTAGACTATAGACTAGACTATAGACTAGACTATAGACTAGACTATAGACTAGACTATAGACTAGACTATAGACTAGACTATAGACTAGACTATAGACTAGACTATAGACTAGACTATAGACTAGACTATAGACTAGACTATAGACTAGACTATAGACTAGACTATAGACTAGACTATAGACTAGACTATAGACTAGACTATAGACTAGACTATAGACTAGACTATAGACTAGACTATAGACTAGACTATAGACTAGACTAAACTATAGACTAGACTATAGACTAGACTATAGACTAGACTATATACTAGACTCTAGGCTAAACTATAGGCTAGACTATAGACTAGACTATAGACTAGACTATAGACTAGACTATAGACTAGACTATAGACTAGACTATAGACTAGACTATAGACTTGACTATAGACTAGACTATAGACTAGACTATAGACTACACTATAGACTAGACTATAGACTAGACTATAGACTAGACTATAGACTAGACTAATATATTAAAGTTTTTATTATTATTATTATTATTTTTATTATTATTTAAAGTTATTATTCAACTAATCAAAAATATGTTGTATAATTAAAACTCTGTAAATAACAAATTAAACAACCAACTAACAATGCATTTCATGTAAACTGTAGCGTAACGCACCAAAATAATAATAATTTCTATTTATTGACTTCAATGTGAAGGTCGTTCATGTTGGAATATATTTATATTTAAATTGTTTTATGTTTTTACGATACAATTATTACGTAGTGAAGTTTTTTTATTTGTTTTGGTAAAATGTAATTGTTGTCTTTCCTGGCCAGAGGTGCTTAAACTTGATTTTTGTGGGCGTATGAAATAAAAAGTGACTCACTACAGTGCCAATACAATTTTGGAAAAAAAATGCAAAAAAAATTTTAAAATTATCCGAATAATCGGTTAAAATGATTCGATTAATCGATTCAAAGTATTGAATTATTCGAATACAAATTTTAGTTTTTGGTATACATACTATTTAAAAATTCTAGCGAATAATAGCTTAAAACTATCCGAATAATCGAATAAAATTATCCGATTATTCGGTTAAAAATATTTTTAAAATTAGTATCAAAAACAATAGCTTTTAATGTAGTGAAATAATAGCAGAAAACAATAAATTATTAGCGATTAAAATTATTCGAGTAATCGATTCAAATTATTCGATTCGAAAAATCGACTAATCGCATATAAATTTTAGTTTTTAGAGCAAATACAATTTAAAATTACGATTTTGAAAAAAATTTTGAGGAATAATTGTCTAAAATTATTCGAATAATATATCCAATTATCCGTTTAAAAATATTTTTAAAATTAATATCAAAATATATCCACAACTGAAGTGAAAAATAACAGAATACAAAAAAATAATATATTTTTTAATTATTAAATTAGAATATACGAATAATCGATTAAAATTCGAGTAATCGTTCAAAATTAACCGAATAATCGATAAAAACATAATTTTATTATTCTTTTTGGCAAATTATTTTTAACCAAATAATCAATTTTTCTGAAGTATAAAATGAATACTCGATTAAAGTTATTCGAATAATCGTTAAAAATTAACCGAATAATTGTTTTATAATATACATAAGTTCATAAAATTTGATGAATTTTCGATTTTAGTGACATGTTTCTTTAAGTTATGACGAATAATCGTTGAAAATTATTCGAATAATCGATTAAAATTATCCGAATAATCGATTAGAAATACTGTTTCATAATATAAGTTCATAAAATTTGTTGAATTTTAGTGAGATTTTTCTTTAATTTTTGATGAATAATCGTTGAAAATTGTTCGAATAATCGATGAAAATTATTCGAATAATCGATTAAAATTATCCGAATAATCGATTAAACCTATTTTATCAAACTGTGTTTTACATATTTGTTTGAAAGTCGATAAAAATTATCCGAATAATCGTTTAAAATTATACGAATAATAAAATTAAATTATTCGCATAATCGACTAAAATTATTTGGTAAAAATTAGTTACTTTTTATTAAAAAGTGTATTAAAATAAATTGAATAATCGATTAAATTATTCGTATAATGGGTTAATATTATTCGAATAATCGATTAAAATTATCCGATTAATAGATTGAAATTATTTGATAAAAAATTTGCATTTTATTCCAAAAATCTATTAAAATTATTCAAATAATCGATTAAATTATTCGAATAATCGATTAAAATTATTCGAATAATCGATTAAAATTATTCGAATAATAGTTACAAATTATCCGAATAATCTGTTAAAATTATTTGGTAGATTAAGTAATTTTTGTTAAAAAATCGATTAAAATTATTCGAATAATCGATTAAAGTTATCCGAATAATCGATTAAAATTATCCGAATACTCGATTAAATTGATTCAAATAATTAAAATTATTATTAAAATTCTTTGTTAAAAAAATTAGATCAAAATTATTCGAATAATCGATTAAAATTATTCGAATAATCGATTAAAATTTTCCGAATAATCGTTTAAAATTATCTGAATAATCGGTTAAAATTATTTGGTAGATATGATAATTTTTGTTAAAAAAAATCGATTAAAATTATTCGAATAATCGATTAAAATTATCCTAATAATCGATTAAATTGATTCAAATAATCGATTAAAATTCATTATTAAATAAATAGACTAAAATAATCAAAAATAATCCGAATAATCGATTAAAATTATTCGAATAATCGTTTGAAATTCTTCGAATAATCGTGAAATTCTTAACGCACCCATTTTTAGTTGGACCATGGTTAGTGAACCTCTGTATTATTGTTTTTTTCAACTATTGTCTATGCGAAAGCGTGTTTTTTGTTCAACAAAACTTTTAACAAAAAAAAAGTTTAACGACCGATGACAACGTTTATGTTTTGTTTTTATTTGTTGTTATTTTTATTAAATAATTTTAACAATTTCAATGTCATATAAAGTAATTGAGTAAGAGTTTTTTTTTCTTTCAGTGGAATTGTTTTACGTAGCGTCACGTTTACATGTGGATTCTTCCTCTACTATCTTTAACACACACAAAAAAGGGAGAGTGCATAATCATTGTTGTGTGGTTGTTGTTATTGTAATTATTTGTTTAATTATAAATGATGACCCGTATAATGTTAATAAACTTGTTTTAAGAGCAACAATATTATTGTTAAAATTCTGAGAAATAATAGAAACATGCTAATGGAATGATTAACATATGTTTATTGGTTTGTTTATTGTCAAAGTCTAATAGCGTTGCCAATTAAGTTTTAGTTTGTTTGTAAACAATAGCAAGAGAAGAAGACAGTTAGTTTTTTATTTTGTTTATGTTTTGCTTTGTCAAACATGTAATTGTAACCCAATCACCTAGTAGCTTACTAACAGTTTTTGTTTTTGTTATTGTTGTTTTTTTACATTTCCTTATATTATTAAGAGAGTATTCTTTGCACCTGTAACTAGGTTTGTTTACTTTTTATTAAACTGTTTTAATAAACCCTTTTTGGTTTGAAAAGAGAGCTTTGTTTTTGTGTTTTTAAAGCTTGTTTATGCTTGTCTAAAGCTTAATGTTAAAGGAATATTAAAGTGTTAATGTTAGTGTAGTTGTATGGGTATCAAAAGAACTCCCAATTACGAAAACTTTTTAACTTGTAGCTGCTTTAAAACATACTCTGCTTGGCCAAAGAGTTAGAGCAGCAGAGTAAAAACATAGCTATGCAAGTGTATGTGTAGTAAATGTGGCAAAACGCCTGCAACTACTATTGAGGGGGTTGTGTTGATAAAATTTTTTAGATTACTTCCGTCTGTCAGTGTTAACAGTTGTGTTTGTTGGTGGTTTTTTCCTACTCTTCATTAGAAAACACCTATTTAATCAGTTTAGTGAGTTAAATGTGAGTGTGTGTGTGTTTTTGGTTTTAGTTTAAGTGTGTTAATTATTAATTAAGAGTGTGTGTTTTTAATAATGAAATAAATTCTATTATTTAACATCTTAAAACATAAATACTGTGAGCTCTCTTCTTATCACTTGTTATACAGGTTTCACTTTTTTTGTTATTCTGTTTATAGTCTGAAACAAAGAACCTATTGAAAGCTCTTCTAAGCCCCCCTATACATGTTTAGAACATTTTGTGGTTCTTTATGTTAACAATTTTTTTTGTATATAAATAAATAAAACAAAAACTTTTGCACCATCAGTTAAGTTCTAAAACAGCATCAGTGCAGTTTTTCCAAATTAAAAAAAAATAAATAAACAAAAAATAATAATAAAAAAAATGTTTAAATTATTTTGGTTTTTAGTCATAACAATAATAGTAAAAAATGCAGAAAGTCAAATTGGCTGTGAGTTTTCTTAAACAAAAAAAAGAAAATTATAAAAAAATAACAAAAAAATAATTAAAATAAAAAGTGTCTTAAACCCTAAAACAAAATTTGAAAAAAAAAATCTAAACAAAAACATTTTATTACTTTTAATAAACTCTTAAGCCAGGCGTATAATTAACAATATTTATTGTATTTATCACGTATACGCTTGGTGTTAAAAAATAATTTTAAAACAATAAGACAAACAATAATTAAACATTCTTAACAAATCCTAATTAACAAAGTGTTAATAATAACATGTTTTTAAATGCATAAATTTTGTAAAATAAATTCTAACTTTGGCATAATATAGCAACACTAATAGGTGTGAGAAAGTTATGGAAAGAAAAGAAGGAAACAGTGCAAAGCAAATAAATCATAAGAATTTTAAAAATTTTTATAAAAAATTATTCGAATAATCGTTAAAAATTATTCGATTAAAATTATTCGAAAAAATTATTCGCTTAAATTTATACGAATAAAAATTTTTTTTAGTGCAATTTTGAGTTTTAGTGCAAATGTTTGTTTCTGAAAAGTTTAACAAAAAAAAATTATTCGATTAATCGATTAAATTTATTCGATTAAAATTATTCGATTAAAATTATTAGAATTAACATTATTTAGTGCAAATTTGCCTTTTAGTGAAAATATATGTTTTTGAAAATTTTTAAAACTTATTCGAATAATCGATTAAAATTATACGCATAAAAATTTTTTAGTGCAATTTGAATTTTATGTGGAAATATTAGTTTTTGGAAAATTTTATTAAAATTATTGAAATAATCGATTAATCGTTTAAAATTATTCGATTAAAATTATACGAATAAAAAATTTTTAGTGCAATTTCAATTTTAAGTGAAATTATTTGTTTTTAAAAAGTTTTATAAAAAATTATTCGATTAATCTATTAAAATTATTCGATTAAAATTATACGAATAAAATTATTCGAACAAACATTAGTGCAATTTTAATTATAAGTGAAAATTATTTGTTTTTGAAAAGTTTTATAAAAAAATTATTCGAATAATCAATTAAAATTATTCGATTAAAAATTATTCGAATAAACATTATTTAGTGCAAATTTGATTTTTAGTGTAAATGTTTATTTTTGAAAAGTTTTATTAAAATTATACGAATTTTTTGCTGCAAATTTGATTTTTAGTGAACATTTTTGTTTTTGTAAAGTTTTAAACAAAGAATCGATTAAAATTATTCGATTAATCGAACAAATTTTTTTTTGTGAAATTCAAATTTATATTTTTTAAACAAGAAACGATTAAAATTATTACAAAAACCGATTCAAGTTATCCGAATAATCGATTAAAGTTATTCGAATAATCGATTCATATTATTCGAATAATCATAGAACTAATTTTTTGTGCAAATATAATTTTTAATTCAAATGTATGTTTTTTCAAAAGTTCAAATTACAATGATTCGTGATAAACAATAAAAAATATACGAATAATCGTTGAAAATTATTCGAATAATCGAATAAAATTAATATAATCGCTACAATTTTTTGGTGCAAATTTGATTTTTAGTGAAAATATTTGTTTTTGGAAAATTTTGAACATAGAGTCGATTAAAATTATTCGATTAATCGAATAAAATTGTTTTTTATAAAATTCAAATTTATATTTGTTAAACAAAAAAAACGTTTAAAATTATTGCAAAAATCGTTTCAAATTATCCGAATAATCGATTAAAGTTATTCGACTAATCGATTAAAATTATTCGAATAAAAACATATTTTCGTCCATTTATCGAATAAAAATGTGAGTATTTTAAGGAAATTTGATTTTTTACCGAGAAAAGTAGTTTTTGTTAAAAAAAAACGATTAGAATTATTCGTATAATCGGTTAAAATTATTCGATTGATCGATTCAAATTATCCAATTTTTTGTAATTTTTTAATTTTTTTTTTATTTTTTAATATTTTTAATTATTTTGTATTAAATCGTTAAAAATTATTCGAATAATCGTTTCAAATTATTCGAATAATCGTTTAATATTTTTCGAATAATCGTTTAAAATTATTCGAATAATCAACTAAAACTTTTCCTATAATTTTAGCATTTTCTATTAAATTTCGTACGAATAACCGTTTGCAATTATTCGAATAATCGATTAAAATTATTCAAAAAAATATTTTTTCGTAACGTTTAAAATAAATCGAATAATCGATTATAAATATTTCTTAAATTTTTCATCATAAATTCAATCGGGAAAATTATTCGTTTAATCGATTAGAATTCTCCGATTAATCGAATAAAATGAAACGAATAATTGATTAAAATTATTCGAATAATCGATTAACAATATTATTTTATTTAATTTTGTTTAAATTGTATACGAATAATCGATTCGTACGAATAACCGATTAAAATTAATCGATTAAACATTTACAATTATTCGAATGATCAATTAAAATTATGCGAATAAATATTTTTTATTCTGAAAATTCAATATTTAGCATTATTAAATTACTTTTGCATGAATAACCGATTAAAAGTATTCGACTAATCTTTTAAAATTAATCGAATAATCGATTAAAAATATAGTTTTCTTCTTAAATTTTTTTATCATAAACTCAATTGGAAAAATTATTCGTTTTTTTCATCATATACTCAATCGTAAAAATTATTCATTTAATCGATTAAAATTATCCGATTAATCGAATAAAATAAAACGAATAATCGATTAAAATTATTCGAATATCGATTAAAAGTAATATTTTATTTAAATTGTGAACGAATAATCGACTAAAATTATTCGAATAATCGATTAAAAAATTTATTTTGTATGATTAATCGAATAAAATTATCCGAATAATCGTTTAAAATTATTCGAATAATCGATTATTTTTTTTTTTAATTCATAAACTTGATACGAAAATTATTCATTTAATCGAATAAAATTATCCGATTAATCGAATAAATTTTTTTTTTGAAATTCAATGTTTTAGCATTTTTTCTTTTTAAATTTTGAATGAATAATCGACTAAAGTTATTCGAATAATCAATTAAAAAAATATTTTGTATGATTAATCGAATAAAATTATCCGAATAATCGTTTAAAATTATTCGAATAGTCGATTAAAATTATTCGACTAATCGATTAAAATTATTCGAATAATCGATTAAATTTTTTTAAAAAATCAAAAACTTGTATCAAAATTATTCATTTATTCGAATAAAATTATCCGATTAATCGAATAAATTTTTTTTTTAATTCAATGTTTTAGCCTTTTTTCTTATTTCATACGAATAATCGTCTATATTTATCCGAATAATAATTAGGGAGAAGAAATACATTCACAAAGTTAAAGCACATTGATGTAATGTCAACCTAATGATCATCACTGTTCACGCTTTGTATGGGTTGTTTGCCCTTAGCAACGATTACGTGGGGCACTATTCTATAAATAACCACAACGATGGCGATTCTTTTCCTCTTTCAGCGTCTTGTTTCCTCTGCCGCATTAGTGGGGACTACCCTTATCTTTCAAATCCAATTATATTTTGGTTACAAACTAAAAACTTTCCATTACAACTCTCTACAACCTATTGCCAAAGTTAGAAAGCAACAATAACTTCTTTAAACCCAATCAAAAACACCACCTCAAACAAATCTATCTAGTTACATCTATACCCTGTACACAACGTCATCCGAAAATAGTCGGTGGCCTAGAGGCAGAACGTCATGAAATGCCCTATATGGTAAGTTTAACACGACGCGGTAGACATTATTGTGGGGCTACAATAATACACGAAAAATGGATAGTGACAGCGGGTCACTGTATCTGCAATGGACTGAATAATTTTATGAAAGCCTCACACATCCAAGGTGTAATGGGACTGCATAGTATATCACAATATTTGAATGGCATAGATAATGAACGCGATGGAGAGGTGCCCATCAAGGTGAACTTTCAAAGTATTGTACCTCATCCCAACTATAAATGTACAAATACACAAAATGATATTGGTACTTATGAGTAGATTAAGATTTAAGTTTTGAACTGAATGGATGCTAATAAATGAAAATTTTCACTTTCTTTTTCTTGCTGTTCCCCATTCCTACTGTTTAAAGCTTTAATGGAATTAATACAACCCATACGATTTTCCCGCCACATACAGCCTAGCTGCTTGTCTTCCGCTGCTAGTTTGAGAAATCATGAAAATGAAGTGGCTACCGTTTCGGGCTGGGGTTGGACTCAAGAGGATCAAGCTGTAGGCGATATAGCCGATAATTTACGCAAAGCTGCCGTAAGAGTTTGGAATAATAATGCTTGCGAAAGATCATATCAGCTGAATGGTAGACCTAATAGCATAATCACAGATACACAAATGTGTGCGGGCTATGAAAATGGCGGCATTGATTCATGTTGGGTAAAGTGCAAGCGTTAAATTTTAAGAAATATTTTTTGTAATTTTAATAAAATGTTAACTTAATAGTAGTTAGGGCTTATATATTAAGTTTTATCTCTCTTTAAATGTTAATTTCATTTTACGTTTCCTTTTTCTATTTTCAGGCCGATTCCGGCGGCCCTTTAATGTCCAAGGAAAATTTCCTTATTGGTGTTGTTTCTACCGGTATTGGTTGTGCTCGGCCTGGCCTACCAGGCATCTATACGCGCGTTAGCAAATATGTTTCTTGGATGGAATCTGTGATATTTCAACGTAATTGATGATTTTAAGTCAAATATTTTGAATTGTACTGTGATATTTGTTAGTTATTTTAAATGTTAAGTTGTAGTTTTTAATAACTTAGTTTTAAAATCATTAGATGCTTAAAAATTGTTATAAATAATGTTTTAAAATAAAATTACAACAAAAATGTCTTAAATTTATTGAAATTTGTTATAAAGGGTAAGTGTAAAAGCTAAGAAGCTAGATTTTGTATGTACATATTATCTATCTCTCTATCTTCTCTATCTATCTATCTATCTATCTATCTATCTATCTATCTATCTATCTATCTATCTATCTATCTATCTATCTATCTATCTATCTATCTATCTATCTATCTATCTATCTATCTATCTATCTATCTATCTATCTATCTATCTATCTATCTATCTATCTATCTATCTATCTATCTATCTATCTATCTATCTATCT